ACCTAGTTGTTGAGAGGATGAAGGCATTAGCCACCCATTATATGAATGAACAAATTTCCCACCTGACATGAATAATTCCTTTAGGAGAAGCCATTTTGAGCCTGACCGTTCTTTGTTTACCCGATTAATTGAGCTCCATAGCCAAATGGCCTGTGTTTCCTTACCCGTGAATATTTCTGACTTAGTCTTGGTGTTTAGGGAACTAGGGGATTAATTTGCTAAGTTTAGGGAATTTTTGTAGGAGCCATTTTTGGCACTATTCCTATTTCCTATGCTCCATATAGGGTAAGAGTAGTCACTTTTTAGGAATTTGATATTTTCGAGAATTGCATTGTAGGCATGGATTCACTTTGAATAATTGAACTTTAATTGCTAATTTTTCTTGGTGAGGCCGAGATTAGAATGGGGTAATGTCTAGTAAAAATTTGAAAATTGAAAAAATTAATTAATAACTAGACCTCTTACCTTGCGAAAAAGAGAATGGGAACCCCGGTAAAAAAGCGTAAGATGAGACTTGGGTATCTTTCGAAAGAAATGGCGTTCTCGTGCCAACATGACAAGGAAAACTGAACCTAATTAAATGAACTTGGAGGTTATTGCAAAAATTAGCTTTAGTCCTTCGCGTACTTCAAGTATACGTCAAAGCACAAATGTGCCGCGGCGGTTTAGCTTAGTTGTACACCATGTCTACTCTTTGCATAGGTTTAGATGATTTTTCCTAAATTGTGGCCTACTAAGTTCTTTGATCCTAAGAATAGCCCCGAAATACCTGAATGCATCAAGTCTTTGTTAGGATGTTCCAAACTATCAAAAAAGGGACTGTTTATTACCATTCACCATTCACCACCGCCTTCACAAGTCCTTCTGATCGGTAGCTAGTTTATTAGAGCTTGCTGTCATTACTTTGAGGATGTTGTGAATAATTTTGTCAAATATTTTAGCTAGAGTACAAAGATGTAGTTTAAGGAAGAATTTTCTTGGTTTAGTTTGTCTGTTCTGTGAATATCCCTTTAACTACATGTGCATGCTAATTGTTTTGATTCCGTGTGGTGATTATCGTGAGTCCCGTTGTTCAGTTTGCTTGAAGACAAGCAAAGACTTAAGTGTGGGGGAATCTGATGAGTCCGTATTTAGACAAGCATTTGATGCGTGTTGGGATTGGCTTTTGATGGTTTTCCTAGATTTAAGGTGTTGCAAGTCTCAATTTTAGCTCAAGTTATGTTTACCAGGCGTTGGTTCGAGTTTCGTGTCATTTGGAGTCAAAATCATGATTTTAGAGTTCGGCACCGGCACTTGAGAAGCAATCGGGACGAGTTGAGAAGCATTGGAGATTGATTTGAGAGTTTTGGAGGTCACCAGGAGGTTCAAGATGAAGATTTGAAGGAAAAAGAGATTTAGGATTGGCTTCGGGATCAAAACAAGATGAATGAAGCTTGAAAACGACGATCGGGATGACCTTCTGTCAATCGCTCAAGCATATCTCTTTGTAGAAACAACCAATGGACACGATTCAAGTTTTATATGAAAGACAACTTCAAGGGCTACAAATAATATGAAGACACCAATTTTAGCTATTTTTCATATAATTTTTTCTTTATTTTATTAATAAGATATATATTAAATATAATTTTTTTCATAAATCAGCAGAATCAGCCAATGCAGCCACTTCAGCTAGAACTTCATAAATTTCAGCAGAATCAGCAAAATCAGCCGATTTTCATGCTATCAAACGGGCTCTAAAACTAAATGGTTTTCATTTGATTCATTCATGTCTTTATTCATAGAGATTATGAAATCTGATACATTTATAAAGTTAAACAAAGCATAAGGAGAAAATATCATCAGCATAATGTTTTACATACAACATCATGTTTTATCTACATCAAGAAGTTAAGAATCAGTCACTTAATGGAGAACTTCAATATAAAATAGAAAGCAAACAAAGAAGAAAATGATAGAAACGACAGGGAAATACATGGGTTTAAAACTAAATCATCGGCATTTCCCCATTTTGTTATCTATTTTTTTTTTTGCAATATAAACATACCCCAAACATCCATTTGTGAAAGGGTGAAATTTTGGGGAGAAAATATTGGAGAAATTTGTAATCAAATAAAATAATATATTTGTACCTCAAAAAAATTACTTTTTATACATTAATCACAATACTAAGTGGTTTGAACCTATGTAACATCAACATAAACACATGAATCTCATTACATATTCCTTTGCATTTTGTCAATCCAAACACAAGAAAAGAACCACACTTAACATTTTATTCCTTTTGCTAGCAATTTTTAGAACTGATATTCCGTTTGGCTGATTCTACTGATTTAAGAAAAAATTATCTTTAAAATATATTTTATTAATAAAATAAAGAAAGAAATATATGTAAAATAGCTAAAATGAACATCTACAGTAACTTCAGCCAATACAGCCAGAAAAGTAACTCTAACCTTACTTTTTCCTGTTTATTATACAATTCAGCGCGTGAAAACAAAAGTTACGTGTTTGGTGAAAAAGTTGGCTGATAAGCCGAAAAACAGTGTTGCCAAACGGCCTCTTAAACTCATGCATTTCCTTGCTGTTTCTATCAGTTTCTTCTTTGTTTGCTTTCTGTTTTATATTGAAGTTCTCCATTAAGTTATTGATTCTTCTTGTTGCAGATAAAACATGATGCTTTATGTAATCTATACACAGTTACACACAAAGGTCTCATGATGGTTCTACTAAAAAGATGCACATATCGACACAATATATTCTTTACACTAATGAGTAATGACATTGCCTTTGTATATAATAACTACAATACTTGATCTATTAGTCATCATTTTTTAAACAGAATTAAGTAACTTATAAGTTTATATTACTGAAAAACATTGGGCATTATCCAATCGCGCAAAGCGCGTTACGGAAACTAGTATTATCATAGGACTTGTTACTTATTTAAAGAAGTATATTTCAAAAATATAAATGGGATAATTGCTCTTCATACGCCGTATATGTCACATTTATCATCATAGCACAATCGGCATCCAATTCAAGAGCAGTAAAACAAAGAAAGAAAATAAAAAATCGGGAAAACTATCAAATAAGCCCTCGTACTATGTTGAAAAAGTCGATTAGGCCCTCGTACTTTACAAACACTCAATTAATTACTCGAACTATTAAAAACATTCAATTAAGCCCTTTTGGTCGGTAAGTAATCGGTTTCCCGGTTAAACGGCGACGACGGCGACGATGTGCTAAAAAAATTTCACCGGGAACCGCTTCAAATGGCGACGGCCGGACAGTAAGGACTTATTTGACCTTTTTATGCAATTTTGAGTACCAATCTGACCCTTATCTCGTTGTTCAGTCAAGGAAGATTTCTCTTGAAAGGTTGTCATATGTTATTTTGAGCTAATTGGATATAACATAAATAGGTGAAGCTCTCTCTAGGAATAAGACCATAAAGTTGATAATGAATAATCTTGGAATGTAAGATCTTTTCTCTCTAGGTTCATGGCCTTCAGGCGCGGACCCAGGAAATTCATGTTGGAGGTTCAAAATATTTTTTGAAGGCGAAAATTATTTTTTGAGGGAGTGAAAATTATTTTTCTTATATACTAATATACGAAGTATATACACTAAAAATTAATTTTGTTGGAGGGGCGGTAACCCCCTGGTCTGTACTACGGCAGGGCCGTCTAATGAATTTAGAGGTCTCGGTTCCAAATGTAAAATTGGGGCCCCACTTTAATATAAACTATTAAAAAGAACTCAATTCAAATACTTATACTTAAGTCAATTGAATACTTATTAAATAATGTAATACAGAGTAATATTTTATCTAAAATTTACTTAATTCTTGATTTGAAGTAACACACCTCATTATTCAAGCAATTTGAGTAAATGAGAACTAAAGGACCAACGAAAAAATGATGGATCTATATTTTTCTTCCTTACTAATTGTATTTTACTGATTAGTATTAATATATTAATATATAATACTAATAAATTTTTAAGAATCTGGGGCCCCATAAATCTGGGGGTCCTATTCCGGATAACCTATTTAACCCCTAAAAAACGGCCCTGTACTACGGTCCGCCCCTGACTGCCTTGACGATTCGCCTGGATTTGAAATATATTTGTAAGACATGAAAGAAAGTTTTTGGAATTTCAATATATATCTAAGGAGAAGTACAGCCAAAATGAATCAAACGAATAACTATAAAATCCACATAAAATGCTCAAAATAAAGTACAGTCATATACTCATATACTTGTATGAGTTCTCCACTTGCGAACATACAAATTTTAAAGTCAGGAATATAGTAAAACTCTGATCGAAAAAATGTTCGCAAACTGAATGGCTCTTCCAAATGTCTTCACAGTACAACTATTTGGAGTTTACATTTTCCAGTCTTGATGGCCCTGTTTCCTCCTTTTTAACAGCCCTTCCAGTCCAGCATCAAATACGAAGTATGTCAATTTGATTCTAATAGCATGCAGTACATGCATGTCTCATTTGTCATGATAGCACATTCTGTAGTAATACACAACTATTGGGGTGAATGTAAAATGAGTGTTTTTTGGTTTCATTGATTTTCTTGCATGATGTGTTAAAGCTAGGGTTTCATTGTTTGGTAGGAGCATGGTCAGTGTAGACTGTAGAGGCAATACTTAGAGACAATCCAACATCCATGGCTGCAAATAACCACTGCATTAGGCTCATTCAATAAATATCATATGAAAGTATGGCACTGGCAATCACTTTTATTATTTTATTACCATGTTGGCAAACATTAGGTGCTACAGCGGATAGTGCATTAGACAGAATGGTATCAGTATAGTTCACAACATCACAAACTTGTCCTTTGGTATATTAGCTAATGAATCATCTTTTGCTTGATATCTGCTGCAATGTGTGGAGTACACTTCGTAACTTGTTTAAGATAATCACGTTATTCACATATGTATTGTAGTTACCATATTAAGATGACCATAACTAACTGCACTCATAATGTTATTATTGTACTGCAAATCTGTATTACACTCCCAAATAATGTGATTATAGTTGCGCGAAATAATTCGTCATCAGTAACCCAGAGACCCGACATAAAGGACATATGACTATTTATAAACTTTTTGAAAAGATTGTCTGAAGAGAAAATGAAGAGGTGGACTACTCTTGTTTTCAGACCAGCATTATTCCAACAATTTGAATTCTTGAAACACAAAAAAGAGTGAAATGATAATGGCCCGAAAGGTCATGCAATGTTTCATGAATACTACTTATATTCCAACAGCATTAGCGCTTATGATGAATCTGTCGTGCAACAGCCCAGCAAGAACTAGCGGAAACAATCCGACCTTTCACCCCCTGCAGTACCCAATGGCCATCTTCAGTAAACAGAAAATCTTTGTGATATGCTGCTCTGGAATTGCCTATTAACTTCTCCACAAGTTGAGGTTTCAAAGGCAAAGGCTCAAACCCAGCCCTCATTGTGCGAGAATGCCACTGCTTGTATGTTTCAGGTCTCTCTATTCTTTCTGTGCCTTCACATGCTATGATATTCCTTATTTCGGCCCCCATAAATCCTTGTTCAAAACCAAATCTTTGATCATCATTGCCTGGGAAATGTGCATCAAATAAATCATAGAAAACAGAGTATAAGTAGAGAGCCTCGCGAAACCGAGTGAGAAAGAAAGGAGATCCATGAGAAGCAGTATACACATTATGCACAAAAATACGAGGATTAACTTCCCGGATTAAGTTTAAAACTGCATCCCTGGGGCAGGGGCTGTCCCCACCAAACATTGTTTCATCCAAGAGACGTTTGAATCGGAAAACACAGTTAACAGCAACCACCTCACCACCACTTGCAAGCTTCAAGTCATCAATCTTAATTGCCTCCCAATGTTGTGCTGTAATAGCATTGTACTCGAATGGTACACCGAAACGCTGGCAATATTTTTCCAAGCGAACACCTGCCTCTATTACCAGTTGTGATGGACGAAAACCAGGTTGGGGAAGCTCAATTCCAGTTATTCGTAGTCTGGGAGGGCCACCGGGCCTTTGTGAAAGATCCCGAATAAGAGTTGGCCATTGGATTCCATGAAGAATACCAAAATCTATAACATGCAGTGAGGAGCTTCCTAATGCTGCTTCGTGAATCATTTGATTTGAAAAATTATATATTAATCTCATAAATGGCACCCATGATGTCATGTTGGATTTTGTCAACCCGGAAGCTACGTTGTTATTACGAAACGGAGGAACATAAAGTTGTGTCCCAGTTCCAGCCAACCGTGCCTCAAGACTATCAGCAAATGCATGAGCCAGCCTTTGTCGTGCATTGCCGGTAGGGGAAGAGTACTGCCTGATCTTCTTCAATTCATCTACTGCAGCTTTATAATCAGCATCAGAAACATATTGTGCGCAGCTGGTCAAAAGAGTCTCCAGATCCACAACTTCACCTTGTTTCTTTGAATGGCTCTTCCGACCACTCCGCCTTATCTTTTCTGTGCGGCCTACTCTAGTTGGAGGATCATTATCTTCATCAGCACACAGCAAAACCTTATCAAACAGCATCTCTGACAGCTCAACCTCCTCCTCTGTATTAACTGCAGACTGCTTCTTGCTCCTTTCTCCTTCTAGAACACTTTCATCTGGACAGCAATGCTTCCTCCTTCCTCTACGTGTATCGGCAGAATCCTCCCTCTCTATATTGACAACACCTCTTATCAATTGCTCAGTTAGCGGGGGCATCGCAGGCATTGAATATTCATGGCCACCGGGAAGCAAGAATTTTCTAGCTTCCTCCACACCTCTCTTGAACTGCAAGACGGATGCAGCTCCAAGATCACAAAAACCATTTGGAACTGAATCAGCAGCACTTAGGTAAGCGTCCATTCGAGAAACCATTGGAATATTGATGTTATATGATGAATGGTTTAGATCATCCGAGGTTCTCTGATATGATGATGGCTGGATGGAGAGAGCGGGAGAATCAGTTGCCCCAAATGATTCTCCTGGAGAGAGATCAGTAGAACCAACATCACACGTGTAGCTCCCAACTGAGGTGTCAAAATGTGAGGAAGTTTTCCCAAGCAAGGCTTCATAGAGAGAATTCTCTGCATCTCTAAGCGCAATCGGATCCCAGAACGAGTCATGGGTGTTTTCATCATCAATGTCCTCCTCCAGTAATATCTGGTTAAGGTACTCGATCATGCGATCAGAGCCCATAGAAGGAGCATGGTCAGGACGTTGTGGAATTGAAAGGGCACCAATATAAGTATCTGGAATGTCTTCTGATTGTTTAAAGGCAGAAAAGATGAGATCATTCTCCAACTCGAGTGTGTTTATATTTGAGTCAGGCAACCTTCTAAGCTGAGGATCCATATCCATCTATTTACCCACAAGAAACCTATATCCACATAACAAAGATGGGTAAACGATGAAGTAAACGAATACATATTTAGTAAGGAGGGTCAGTACTCAGTAACTTATCACTACTATCTAGCTATTGTAGTAAATCAAACATGTCTTGAACATTATAATCAAAATAATGTTCATAAAACAACAAGTATATATAACAAGCAAATATCGAATTAAGGGAACTATGCAAAAATCCCAGAATAGCCATGGCACTGCGTTTCCAACAGATACAGTTTGAAAAAAAAGCCACCGAAAGTACATATATTTTTAGCAAAAAATGTGGCATTTCTTTTGAAAGCGAGATTCAACTCGAAAATGCGTAAAATATACATGCCACAAACATGCGCCCAATATTACCTCAGACAATTGAATGAAACCTGGATTAGGATAAACAAACAAAACCCAGCTTTTGAGAAATGCAATATAGCAATGAGCAAATGAATAATGTAGTATAAGGTCTTCAACTACTCTCTCTCTATATGGTAATCAAACAATAGGCTCCTACCATTTCCAAGTCACAAATATGAGTGGTGGTGGGAGGTGGCAGCAAAACAAATGCAGTGACTTAGTGTACGAAGTAGCAGGGCGGGAGTTGAACCAAAAATGACAGTTCGTTTGTTGGCGTGTAAAGCTCGTACCATTTTCATTCATTCAAATTGCAATAGCACATGGGGGAGGGGTCAGGGGAAGGGTACCGTTTTCAAAGCAAAACAAATTTATTAACGAAATGAAGAAATGCTAAAGTTTAATCGATTCACTTAAATGAAATTTACTGTAGGAAGAAATTAGGGAGTACCTGTTCTGAAATAAGGGGAGACGCCATGCCCGGCCAGGAAAGCCATTTTCCAGTTTCCATTTTCCAGTTTTATACATACTACGTACGAGTATTATATTCATGTGAATTTAAGATTTTTTAATTAAAATAGTTGCAATTTTATGACTTATTTAAAAAAATGTGACCAATTCACAACGACTATATAGTATCTTTAGTCGTTGTAATGTGTGTCCAATTTATGCATTTAATGTCAATGACATTATACTATAGTAATTTTTATATATATGTTTATAAATAAGTTCTGCTTTAGTTTTTTTTATTTGAGAAATCTCTTTCTATATAATTAAAGTCATTAACAATAATATATCATACGAAGTATAAGTTAAGTAAAAGGAAAAACTGTCAATTTGGTCCTCATAAAATCTTGAAAAAGTTAATTAGATTCTCTTGCTTTAAGAAAAATCAATCGAATCCCTAAACTTTTAAAAAATGTTCAATTGAGTCAATTAGCCGGTTACTTGTCATGTCAGCAGGTCACGCGCTGACGTAGACCAAGATGACAGTGTTCCCTATGTAAAGACATATAATGTGATAAACGAAACACAATTGAAGTGAACCATACATTGTGCGCTTTAAAATAATAAATTTATCATTGTTAACATATGTAACTCAATAAACCTATAATTTTCAATACTTTATTTTTTCTTACATTTTGAATTGCAAAATTGATAAGAATATAACTACAATCAATACTAGCTAAAACTTTTTCTTCAATAGATGACATAACTTACTCACTCAGCCTATCTTCTGACTTGATTGGTCATACATAGTTTTTAATCGTTCTAAAAGTAACTATTTAAAGTTTTATATAATAAAGCTCAGTTTTTAATAGCTGATTTGTCATTCTCCAATTGGCTAACAGAAAATTAAATAACATCACTTTCAGAAAATTAAATCACATAATTAAGAATTTTACCACCAGTAATGCGCAAATTATATTGTATGACCGGCATACCATGTGCATGGTATGCCGGTCCAAATACGGTGCTGTTTCCTGCTTCTTCAAATGCACACGGAGCACTCTCCCTTTCCCCTCAACTCCTCCAGGTTTCTTTCTTTTATTTTGTCTTTTTCAATTTCTTTAATTCTTTTTTTATTTCCATCAAAATATTAAAATTTATTTGTGATTTTAGTTATTTTTATCTTTAAATAATTAAAGATAAAAAGCATATTTTATTCATTCACATAATAATTGAACCTATTTTATTTATTCTCTATCAATACATACCAAAAATTTATAAATCTAAATAAAATAAGTATATTGCATTTATATTCATACACTACTTTTGTTTATGTGATATTTACAATTTTCACACACTTTTTTGTAATATATTTTTAATATTCATACACTTTTTGTAATATCTTTTCATATGCATACACTTTTTGTACAATTTTTTTATCTCTTTTATATGTTTTTAAGGATTTTTAAGACATTGAATTTGTTTATTTTGATTCTTGGAGTTACATTTGAAGTTACATCTTCTTATGTACGAGTTGAATCTTATAATGTGTGAGTTACATCTTATTGTACGTGAGATACATCTACTTATGCGTGAGTTACATCTAATTATGCGCGAGTTACATCTAGTTATTTGTTATTTTTATTACATCTAACTATCTTTAAATAATTAAATTACAACTGAATTAACTTCTTTCTTTACTACAAAATTTTTATTAACCCACATAAAATAAGTATATTGTATTTCATAATCATACACAACATTCAGATGGATAAAACTCATATTTTTCATTATTTACATTGAAATCAATGTTTTAATTATTCTTATATTCTATTTTAGATAACTTACATTTTAACTTGACATAAATTACATTTCTTATCATTGTGAGTTACATTGCTGGAAACACGAGTTACATTTGTAATAACACGAGTTACATAAAAAAAACAATCCCTATTATTGAAACAAAAAAATGATTTTTTTAAAATCCTTTTAATGGTCATGATATTAAAAACAAAACATATTCACGATTTAAGGAAAGTAATTATGCCTTTAGACTCTCTTATTATTGTTCATTTTTCATAATGCGAGTTACACCACAATGAGTTACATTTTCAATACACTGTATTTACATTTAACAATAACACGAGTTACATACCAAAACAACAATAACGCGAGTTACATACCAAAAAAAAGGATTTACATCACGAAAAAAATTGAGACAAATGCAAGGGTACCGTTCACACGAATCTTACCCTTGGGAGTACGGTGCTCACCATGCACCGGTTGCACGGTATACGGACTGCCAGTAATGATGTGTGATGAGTCTAATAGGACTCTAAAAAAAAGGACTCTTCCAACTTATCACTTTCACAGTTTCACGTAATGGATAAAACTAATAATAATTAATACATAGGAGATAATACCAATAAACTATTATTTAATACATAGGAGATTCTATAAAAAAAACATAGGAGATAATACCAAAAACTATTAATTAATACGTAGGAGATCTCCTACTACTAGGGTTGGGAAAAATCGAACCCAAACCCAGAAACCGACCCTGATCCAGCCCGCAGTGACGGATTTGACAACTAAATGTTGGGCGTTCGAAATTTCGTTACCATTAAGATGTTACCTAATAATATACAATACATAAATTATTACCAGCACGTCAGTTCTACTAGTTCTGTTACTTCTGTAGTAAAACAAAGGAAAAACTCACAACAATTGGGGATGAATGTAAAATGAGTGTTTGTAGGTTTCATTGATTGTCTTGCATGATGTGTTAACGCAAGGGTTTCATTGTTTGGCTGGAGCGTAGTCGGTGTAGAACTGTAGAAGCGTAGAAGGTAGGTATCTAGTTTTTATTGTAGAGGGGGTGGGGGTGGGGGTGGGGGGATTGCAACGTAGGATCAACTCCACGGAACCGAAATACTCCCTCCGTCACGCTAACATTGTCTCATTTTACCTTTTCGGGCAGTCCCACTAAGATTATCTCATACCAAATTTGATAAAGATTGTGTGGCTCTAAATCATTCTTACTTTATCAATTTAATATTGTAGGTTTTAGGAATAAAACTTCCTTAATTGAATATGCCAATCGGCCAGAATATTTATACAGATGTACAAACAACTAATCAGCTAATTTAGATCCTAAAAAATAGGATCTTGATTACTACGAGCTTATCTCTAAATAACAGCACATGTTCTAATCTATTTGGCTAAGTATGTACACCAAATTAAATCTTGTAACATTTTCTACAATAATATAACATTTTCTACACTCCCCCTCAAGTTGGTGAATATATATCATACATTCCCAACTTGGTTGTAAGCAGTTCGAACACAGGTTTAAATAACCCTTTGGTGAGGATATCAGTTGTTTGGTCTTTGGTGGATACAAATGGTGTGAAAATAATTCCTGCTTCTATCTTCTCTTTAATAAAGTGTCTGTCCACTTCAATATGCTTAGTTCGATCATGTAGCACAGGATTATGAGCAATGCTTATAGCTGCTTTGTTATCACAATACAACTTCATAGGCAGTTCCATCTCCATCTTCAGTTCTGTAATTACTCTCTTCATCCAGAGTAATTCACATATTCCATTAGCCATAGATCTGAATTCTGACTCAGCACTACTTCTAGCAACCACATTTTGTTTCTTGCTTCTCCAGGTTACTAAATTTCCCCATACATAGGTACAATATCCAGAAGTAGACCTTCTATCATGTATTGAGCCAGCATAATCTGCATCAGTATAGGCCTTAATTGTCCTACTGACTCCCTTTTTGAAAAATAATCCTTTCCCTTGGCAGCTCTTCAGGTACCTTAAGATTCTGTAAGTAGCATCAAGATGTTCCTGGAAAGGATTATGCATAAACTGGCTCACCATATACTTACTGCAAATGCAATATCTGGCCTAGTATGTGCCAGATATATTAATCTTCCCACCAATCTTTGATATTGGCGAATATCAACTGGAGTTCCTTCCTTGATATCTCCCAACTTCTGACCTGGGTCAATTGGAGTGTCTGCGGGTTTGCATGCACTCATTCCAGTTTCCTGCAGAAGGTCTAAGATATACTTCCTTTGTGAGACAACAATACCCTTTTTTGATCTAGCTATCTCCATCCCCAGAAAGTATTTTAAGTCTCCTAGGTCTTTAACTTCAAACTCATGGGCAAGCTTTTCTTTTAAATTCTTAGTCTCTGTATGATAATTTCCTGTGAGGATAATATTATCTACATAGACAATTAGTATTGCAATCTCCCCCTTGCCTGAAAACTTCATGAACAATGTATGATCAGCTTGAGCCTGATTAAACCCTTGTTTCTTTACAAATTTTGTGAATCTGTCAAACCAGGCTCTTGGGGACTGTTTAAGTCCATATAGAGCTTTCTCCAGTTTGCATACCTTTGCACCATATTTATTCTCAAACCCAGGAGGAGGGTTCATATACACTTCTTCTTCAAGTTTCCCATTTAAAAAGGCATTCTTTACATCCAATTGTTGTAGTGGCCAGTCCAAATTAGCAGCAAGGGATAAGAGAATTCTTACAGTGTTCAACTTTGCAACTGGTGAAAAGGTTTCTGTGTAGTCAATGCCATAGGTCTGCGTGTATCCCTTAGCAACTAACCTTGCCTTATATCTCTCCAGACTTCCATCTGCTTTAAACTTAGGAGTGAAGATCCACCTGCAACCAACAGTTGGTTTGTTTTTAGGTAGCTCTACAAGCTTCCATGTCTGATTCTTTTCAAGAGCCTCCATCTCCTCCAAAACAGCTTTCTTCCACTCAGGTTTAGATAAAGCATCCTGTATGGTTGAAGGAATAGGAATAGAAGAAACACAATAAGTAAAAGTTGCAAAGGATGAGGATAATTTAGAATAAGAAACATGGTTTGAGATAGGGTATTTAATACATGTTCTTCTTTCTTTTCTAAGGGCAATTGGAAGGTCAAGCTGAATAGAAGTATTACCTTTTTCACTCCCTGTCATTGAGTCAGAATCATGAACAGTGGCAGGTTCTTGGACTTCCTCTATTCTTTGATTTTGAACTCTTCTCTCATAAAGTTTGCCAAAGAACTGACTTGTCTGTTGCTCTTTTTCAATTGGTTCAATTGTATTTATTTCATTATTTGTTATTCCTTGATCATTTTCAGATGGAATATCATCTAGATTAATATCAAGAAAATTAAGGTTTTCATGGATATGTGGTAATGTTTGAACATCTTCTCTTAAACTCTCCCCCTGAAGATGAGAATCAAAAAAAGGCTGTTCTTCCACAAAAAAGGTATCCATAGTAATAAACATTTTCCTGGTTATAGGATCAAAGCATTTATACCCTTTTTGAGTGGAAGAAACACCTAGAAAGACACATTTTGTTCCTCTAGGATCAAATTTACTTGCAGTTTTATCAGGATTTTTTATGAACACTGTGCAACCAAAAATTTTCAAACGGAGAGTGCTGATCATTCTATTTGTAGGAAAGCAATTCTGTAGTGAATTGATAAGACTTTTAAATCCTAAATTTTTTGATGGCATGTGGTTAATTAAGTAAGTAGCATGTAACACAACCTCTCCCCAAAGATATTTTGGTATGTTTGTTGAAAACATGATTGCACAAGTGACTTCAAGTAAATGTCTGTTTTTCCTTTCTGCAATTCCATTCTGAGCTGGTGTATTGATACAAGAGCTTTGATGGATTATGCCTTTTTCAGCAAAAAAAAACTGTTTAGGGTTTGAGAAAGATATTCACGGCCATTATCACTTCTTACCATCTTGTTGGGTTAATGGCCCAAGTTTAGGCTCGGCCCATTTTCCCCTTCTTACGGACGTACGTCCAGATAGCACGCTAGCTAGCCGGACAAGCCCACAACCCCCAGGGGAGACGAACGTCTGCAGTTGGGGCTTAGGTTCAACGGCCCATCTCGACGAACGTCTATGCGGGGACAAGGAGCAGGACCACGGGTCACCAGAATGACGACAAACGTCGTCAGAGCAAGCCCATAGCCATCGGAGGCAGTCCAGTCCACATGGCGAGAATCCACCAAGGGCCAAGGGACGAACAGCTGATACCCCTTGGAGGCCACCTGGAGCGATCCAGCTCGCTCCCCGGGCGGACGAACGTCCCCACTAATTAGGCGGGAAACCTAGATTCTGGCGGGAAGAGCATTTAATGCTGAAGATTTGGTGGTTGAGACACCAGCGAACCACAGGCTTCCACGTCAATATAGCCACCTGCCCATTGGTGGGTATAAATAGAAGCATTTATTTCATTGTAAAGGGTTGGCAACTTTCTATTCCTAGCACTCTAGCTATAGCATTCTTATTCGCAGCACTTCTACTGCCTTGTAAGACGAACGGCCGACGGAGCCTTAGCGAAAAGTATTGTATTAGGGAGTTATTAAGAGATAATAATACCTAATCACTTACTTGATACTTCTTGTTCTCTTTGATCCATATCATCTGCTTATTGGGCTAGATATTCATACACACTCCACTCGAAATCCTTGGGCTTACGTGTTGGACCCGAGGGTTGAAGGAATAAACTTCAACACTGGCGCCGTCTGTGGGAACTGAACAAAAAGTCTCCAAAACTCTCCCAAACAGCTACTAAACCTACCTACAGCAAGCACGATGACAAGGAACAATCGACAACGTGACCTCTCCGAGCAGCTGTCCCACGGGCGAAGCAACCGCGGGCAAACCACGGAACGTTCCGAGACGTTGGGAACAACTGGGGATGAAGGTGGCCTCACCAACCTCATCCCCCACGAGGCCAGACGCGACCCCCGACTCATGAGGGAGCTGGCGGAAACAATGCGCCGAATGGCGGACGAACAGGAGGCGAACGAAGAGGTGTACTCAACTAACACCATATGGACGCCCATATCACCCATCCACCACATGCAGTCCCTGGACGAGACAGCGGAATCTGCCGGGCGTCGGACGCCCATCCACATGAGGTTGGGCCAAAATCCGTCCTCCCACGGGGCTGGGGGGCACACCAGCGCCAGTACCCCACGTTATGGTTGGCAGGACGATCATCGGGGGCGCACGCCGGATGTTCCCTCAGAACGTCAGGACACGGCCATTACCCCTGCTGCCAGTAATATTGGACGACGTTTCCAAAGGCGTGGTGCCCATATCACCCGAAGGCAACCCGACGCGGTTGCCCCACGAAGGAACATTGCGCTCGAGGCCGCCCCTCTTGTGTCCCCCGGAAGGGCCGCACAGGAGGCCCGGCTAGAGGCAATGGAACGGCGAATAGCCGAAATGGATAGACGGGCGGAGGCCACCCCAGCTACGCCTCGTTTCTCCCTCACCTCGCCATTTACTCCGAGGGTCATGAACGCAGAGATCCCGCGGGACTGCAGACCCCCCGGAGGGATAGTATACAATGGGACCGGAGATCCCAAGGCCCACTTGATCAGCTTCCAGGGGAACCTCTCCATGCTGGGAGCATCCGATGAGGCCATCTGCCGGCTTTTCTTCAGCACCCTGAGGGGCCCGGCGCAGGAATGGTTCGGGCAGCTGAGGCCCGGATCTATTGACAACTACGAACAGCTGTCCCAGCAGTTCATGGCACAATTCGCTGCCAGCACCACCCCCAAGAAGAGCTTCACATCGCTCACCAGTGTGAAGCAGGGGAAGGACAAACCTCTGGCCAAATTTCTGGTCAGATGGAGAGACGAAGTACTCCAGGTAGACGACCTGGACGAGCGGCTGGGAGTGAACATGTTCACCAGCGCTCTAGCAACGGGGGACTTATACCGGGACCTCCGGAGGAACCCCAGCACCAGCTATACCGAAGTGCTGGCTCGGGCACAGAAGTATGCCTCCATCGAGGAGGAGATTAGACTGAGGGACGGCGCGCCTGCAGCCCCTTCCCGGAAATTGGCGGATAGGCTCGGCCCCGGAGGCGGACCATCCCCCCCAAACAAGAAGAAAAAGACGGACGGCGGCATGATCCCTTGGAAGGCCCACCCTGAGGCAAGCACCGTGCGTCCAGGGGATTACCACGTTCCCTTAGCCTACCCCGTGGGCCAGGTCTTTGATGCCATCAAAGACAAGGGCCTCCTAAGGGAGCCCCAAGACAAGAAGGCGCTTATGGGTCTTGATGAGACCGCATACTGCGAATACCACCAGAGGGTCGGCCACCTCACCGACAATTGCAAACAGCTGAGGAGGGCTATCGACGAGCTGGTCCGACAAGGCTACCTGGGCGAGTTCACCCAGCTACTGAAGAGGAATAGCCCAAGGCAGCCGAATCCGAGATCACGGTCTTGGCGCCGCAACGATCGGCGCGAGGCCGAGCCAAAAGACGTAGATTATCGGAGTGCCGATAAACGTCCGGAGGGGTCCCTCAGCCCGAACGGCGGGAAAAAGAAGTTGGAGATCAAGGTGATCTTCGGGGGTGCTGAGACTAGCGACACACCTGCTGAGCGGAAGAAGTTCGAGAGGTCCCTCTATGTGGGCTCCATATCAGCTCCCCCCACTAAAAGGAACAAAATGGAGGCCATCACCTTTGGACCGGCCGACCTACCAATGTCACCGGCCCCGCACAGGGATGAGTTGGTGATCAGCATGGATATCAACAATGCGATTGTCCGACGCGTCCTTGTTGATACTCGGAGCAGCGTGAACGTCCTTTACTGGGAGGCGTTCGAAGGGATGAAGCTGAGGAAGGATCAGCTGGCCCCCCTGCGCACCCCTCTTTATGGCTTCACCGGGGACTGCATTGACGCAGAGGGTACCATCGGCCTCCCCGTTGAGATCGGGGACGGACCGCACACCACCCGCATCCGGATGACGTTCGTCGTGGTCCGCCTAAGGTGTGCTCACAACGCAATTTTGGGCCGGCCCGGCTTGGAAGACCTCGAGGCCATATGTTCCGTGCGGCACTCATGCATCAAATTCCCCACCGAGACTGGAGTGGGGGTGGCCCGCACGGACCCGCACATGGCCAGGGCCTGCTACACCAAAGCCATGGAAAGGTTCAACGAGCGGGAGGCCCGGGTCAACAGCATCTCTGAAAAGGCCAGACAAGCCGACTTTGACGCTCGTCTGGAACCGGCCACCCTGCTCGAAGAAGTGGAGCTGGATGATCCTTCGGACAGGAAGGTGTCCATAGGCGCCGACCTTGAGCCTGAGATCAAGGAAGGGGTCATAGCCATCCTCCGGAAATTCAAAATTCTATTTGCCAGAGGGCCGGAGGACATGCCAGGCATAGACCCCAGCCTCATATGTCACAGACTCGCCGTGCGGCCGGATGCCAAGCCCGTCCAACAGAAGAAGAGATATATGGCGGCCGACCGGCGAGATTTCATCAAAAAGGAGGCTACTACACTCCTCAGCATCAGGCACATTCGGCCGGTCATCCACGTGGAGTGGTTGGCCAATGTGGTATTAGCCCCAAAAGGCGACACATGGCGGATGTGCGTCGATTACTCGGACCTCAACAAGGCCTGTCCGATGGACCCATATCCAGTGCCGAGGATCGACTTGCTCGTAGACGAAACGGCAGGCTGCGATCTGCTCAGCTTCATGGATGCATTCAGAGGGTATCATCAGGTGTTCATGCACCCAGATGATGCAGAGAAAACGGCATTCGTCACGGCAGACGGCGTGTACTGTTACGTGGTCATGTCGTTCGGCCTGAGGAACGCCATGGCTACTTTCCATAGGATGATCGGGATGTTGTTCAAAGACGTACTGGGCAAAACCATGGAGGCTTACGTGGATGACATCCTGATCAAGAGCAAGAAGAAGGAGGACCACGTCCGTGATATGGAAAGGATCTTCACCATCATGGAAGGGGATAGCATGAGGCTCAATCCGAAGAAATGTGCCTTTGCCGTCAAGGGCGGCAAATTCCTTGGCTACATGATGAGCGAACGAGGGATCGAGCCTAACCCGGAGAAGGTGAAGGCAATAGTTGACATGGAAGCCCCGAGGAATCTGAAGGACGTATAGCGGCTCACCGGGCGGCTGGCAGCCCTGAGCCGATTTATGTCAAAACTAGCAGACAAGGCGATCCCTTTCTTCCAGATCATGAAAAAGGCGAATCCGTCTGAGTGGACACCGGACTGCCAGGCTGCCTTTGAGGATTTCAAGGTATACCTCTCCTCTCCGCTCGTCCTCACCAAAGCGGACCCGGGGGAGCAGCTGTACATGTATCTGGCAGTGGCAGACTTGGCTGTGAGTGCGGTACTACTAAAAGAGGCAGAGGGCGTTCAGCGGCCAATCTACTTTGTGAGCAA